AACTTGAAAATCTAGGTCAGATCCAGCATCCGAAGCAAGTGTGGTAATGTCCATCCCTAGATGCATCATCCATGCAAGTTTGGTCCAGGTAGGGCTAATAGTTACTTGGGTATGGACCTGCTCCAGAAACTTTAACCTGGTCACTCAACTGGAAATTCTAGGTCAGATCCAGCATCCGAAGCAAGTGTGGTAGTGTCCATCCCTATAGACGCATCATCCGTGCAAGTTTGGTCCAGGTAGGGCTTATAGTTACTTGGGAATGGACTTGCTCCTAAAACTTTAACCGGGACGCCGACGCTAACGCCGACACCGACGCCTGGGGTATAGCATAAGCTCATCTCGACTTCGTCGAGGTGAGCTAAAAATGATCTTTCAGTCTGAAGATATGAATTCACCCTAACCTTAATTAAGGATACCATTTTACAAAGCTTTTTATTTAAGTATATTTTCATGAGTACTTTTGTTTAAACAAATACAAATTCAATTACATTCCCAGAATGGGTCTAGTTCTTTGAAATTCTCTTTTCGAATAAAGATCTGCCTGATATCTACATTCAAGAATTACCTTTTCGGAAAAGTCATTGATCTTAGAAATAAAATGGAATAATGTAAATAAATGACATTTAAATTAACGGATTCATGACGTTATTGTTTCGGGTTTTGAGGGCAAACTCCCGGATGTGTGACGTGTCTGCTGTAGTTTCCGGAGTGGGTGAACTTTTTTCCACATGCTTTACACTGGTAAGGAGTTTCTCCAGAGTGGATTCGTGTGTGCTCTTTAAGGTGGTGCTTTAGTTTAAAACCTTTTCCACAAAACTGGCAAATATACTGTCGTTGTTCTGGGCGAATGTGGAAGTCTAAAAAGGGAAAAAAAATGTGTTTGTGTGTAAAGCCAAGACTAAGTAAATACTACTCTAAGACATAATTAATATTAATAGGTTATGGTTGTATTTTCTACATAACCCTATCTTTCTTGTGATTCCCCAGATATTTGATTATAATCAGTGGATTTTTTCTGGAAATAAATAACTAATACTTTTTCAGAAATGCAAAGCATTGGAATGCCTGCTGGTTACATTGGACAATAAGTTAAAAGTTGCCAAATAAAAAACTACTGATATATCATGCAAATAAATAGATTAAATTTAAGGCATGTGAATGTATACATTTCATTTGTATAATCTTGAATTACATACAAAGAAATGTATAAAAGAATATGAAACTTCCAAGATAAACTTTTAATTGGGTCCATCTCTTTCTACATAAATTGTGTTCTTTAAGTAATAATTTGTAAGTAATAATTTGCAATTCAACTCCTTTTCAATCATCTATCAAAAACCTATGATAGATATGCAACAAAAAGCCAAACAATAAAGCAATAAGAAATATGACAAACACACACGTTCATAGATGCGACAAAAGCAATAAACCTTTGCAAGCTAGACCATTACCCGTGTTTTATTTCAGAACATAAAAGTTATAACAATGACTGACGCAAAATACAATGGTCCAAAACGACTTCCCACATGTTTCCAGTTCTGTTAACAATGGGAGAATACTGACTGAATATATTGCATTATAGTCATAATATATTAATGAACGTGAATTATTACTAAAGGGTGCATTTATTGACAGGTTAAGGAAGTAATTACAAAATTGTTTACATCTGTTCCTTAACTCAATCTGATATGTTTTTGCACGGAAAAAAAATTAATCATGTCAATTTATACAAATAAAGCGAATAAAATAGCTTTAGGGATTAAGTAACTTTAAAGGTATATATATATATATATATATATATATATATATATATATATATATATATATATATATATATATATATATATATATATATATTAAAAGTGACTACGGTGGCAAATCGTTTAAATTTCACATTTTCCCATTCCTTTAAAGAATTATGACGAAAACATTTAATAATTTTTGTTATCGAATGGAGGGTTGCTAAAAGTCTCCAAATTTAAGGATTGAAAATGATACTCGCATGACGCGTTAGACAAGGAGTCACTGAATGTAGGTAAAAAAATATAATGAACAATTTCTCGGTGGGGGATTAACGGTCGCATTTGACAGGAAGTCGCTTAATATAGACATGCAGGCGGTCGCCACGACAGGTTTGACTGTATATATTGTAACAGTGACTACAGTTGCAAATTGTTTAAATTTCACATTTTCTCATTCCTCTAAAGGAGAACGACGAAAATTTATTTGATCAGAGCTTTATAACTTATTGTCTATTGTGAACACTATTGATATTTTCTAATTATTGATACATGTAGTGCACAATATAGTAGTATTCTACATGAGTCTCACACAATCCAACCCAGGTTAAAAGTTTTACAGAGTTTTGGTTTCGTTATTAATTTTCCCCCAAATTCCTGTACACAAATGAAATGATTGGCCTTAATAGAAATAACGGAAGCAGCAAATTTTCTTTGACAAAAGACGAAAAATGAGGGAACATAAGAAATAAGCAGATAAATTTACTGGAAGGGAAGTGTTTTCAGATACCTTTACCTATTTATAGCAGCTTAAAAACGTCTTCCTTATTAATTTTTAACATGCTTGAACACTTTATTTTTTATAATTTCTGTTAATCTGAGGACTAAGTTACCTTGCCAAAATAATTTTAATGGATTCATGGAAAAGAATCTCTCTCTTTTTTTAACTTGAGAATGCTTTTGTTAAAGTTTTAAACGATATATGCCTCGTATACCCCAAAATTAGTGTAACTGTGAGAAAGAGCATCTCTTTTAATTTTATCTGAAATGATGCTGCATTATTTTTTCAGTTGAAATGGTTATTCTTTCATTTATTGTATTTTACAAACATATTTATAACATTTAATCTAAAAAGGCTATTTGGAGCTGTTAGTAGAGAAACTAATGCACTGTAACATGAAGTAAAAATCTACAAAAAGACTTCAAAATACTCTTTTAAAATCTATATTTTTATAAATCTAGTTTACTATGTCTAATTATATCCCGTCATTATCCTTTTTCCATAAAACATTGATTGAATACATTTAAATGAACGAAGATTTAACGTATTCGATATGTATTTTTTATCATGTGCTTCCTACGTTTAAGCCCACGTATAATTGGATTTCTAAATTATTAACACATGAAAAAAAAAGTTACTTCACTGAATGAAAATGACAAACATCAATAATATTACGTAAAACTAAAAAGTAATATACATTAGTCTTTCTTAAAAACAGTTGCTTCCTACTTTTGAGCTCATGTAAACTTGCGGAAGAGTCTGCTCATTCTGAAAATATTTGAAAAAAATAGTTACGATTTAATGGTATCAAAGCTTTACAATATAATATATCTAATTTTATTCTATCAATTTTTCTTCGATTGAAATCTAAAAGTTCTAAATTACATGTTCTATTAAAAAACATATTCTATTAAAATACTGTGTAATAAGCATTATTAGTTTTATCTCATACCTAGATTACCCCAGGAGTGTAATAGTGAAAGCAGATGTATGAAAAAACATAAGTAGAATACAAGTGTGGCAATGACAGGAAATAGTATTATCAATATATAGATTCTACTTGTAAGAATAAACAATTATGCAGAATGATGCGTATATTGACTTCGTTCTTTTTTTAAAGCAAATGATAAAGGGTTATCAAACTTATGTTAGTGAATATTGGCACGAGTTGGCTGTACGTACAGCCAACTCGTGCCAATATTCACTAATGTAAGTTCAATAACTCCTTTATTATATAGCTTAATATTTTCCATTGATTTATATAAATCATTGAAAACTCAATATTAATGAGACTTTTTCAGTATCGTTATTAAGACTGTGAAATATCAGCGTCCGTTCCTGGAAATATTCAGTATCACACCCTTCCAAAGACCCTACCAAGCATTATAATTTGCGTATTGAGGTTTTTATTGCTCAGGCTTAAATATAGGTACTAAATTATTAATAATTTCAATTTTGTGTGAAAAGAGATACATTTTACATGGCTGCCACTACCATTATAAACATTTCTATTGAGTGGTTGACTTAAGACTTTTTTGTTTACAACGAGGCGTTCGATATTGAACGCTCGCATTCGGAATGTTTCTGGACAACCACGTATATTGCAAACTCAGCGTTCAATAAAATGCCAGGATACTGAACGCTAAAATTCTCTAGACCATAAGAAGTTTTTCATTGCAGACCATTAGCTATATTATAAAATTGTAAATTGATGTGGGGCCCGTGTTTTATGCCGTGTTCACAAAAGACAAGATAGACTAAGACCCCCTTTTGGCCCCTGATTTGTAATATCTCCAGGAGCAATGCAATAGTTCATTATAACAAACCTGTTGTCATCCTTCTTACAAAATGAGTATTAATTCAAAGGTCACAGGAGGGTCATAAAAAATGCCAATTTCTAATTTTTTTTTTTCATTTTTATGCAAGTCTTCATCAATTTTATAGCACATTTTGTTGCAGAAAACACAGAGCACAAGCATGCTTATCTATCAAATTTATATATTTCATGCACTACTATCAGATACTCACTACTTCTTGCGTATAAAAATCTCAGATAGGCAAGAGTGTGCTCTATGTTTCCCGAAGTGAAAAGTATCTCAAATTTGACGAAAATCCATCATAACTGAGGAAATTCGGTAAAATTTCCAACTTTGGCACCCTCTTGTGGCCTCTCTATACTTTCTGAATCAAAATTATTGCTGTTTTTTTTTTTTTTTTTTAAAAAGAAACATTTCAAGGTCTTAACTGCAAACTAAAACAATTTTAACTGTGTTCTGATTTTTACATCAAATAAGGGGCCACATTAAGCCGTAACCATACCTTGTCCTTTGTACTATTTACAGTTTTCAGGGTTTTTTTGAGATCGATTACTGTTGGTTATCTTCTCTTGTCCATTAATTCAACTGGAACACGTCATCTTTAAGAGTACTCAGGTGAAAAAATGTCTCAATTTTATTCCCAATAACAAAGAAACAAGTAAAAACTATACATACGATATATTAAGTTTATAAACAGCCCATTTTATTTTAAAAATTAAAAAAAAAATCATACACCAAAAATAGTATTAGACAAAAAAATATATACAAATTAATTGACTAGCATAAAATTAAAATCTCAGCAAGACACAGCGATGACCCTCAATGAAGAAAATTGATTCTGTACAATTAAAGTAAAATTCTTACATGGCTCCCATGGTACATGTAAATTAGTGCACAACTTTGATGCAACGAAGACACATGAGTTTGTCTACATATTCATATCCCACCGTCTTCAGGCCGGTGACAGCAAATTCCATCGAAAATCTTTGTGATTTCATCATGGTTCCAAATACATCAAACAATACTTCCATGAACTCTCAATAAGGATTGTTTTTACGTAAATCTATCAATTTTTTCTTGCAAGAAAGATTTTAGATTTTTCAATGTATTCGGATGTAACACATTGTCTTCCTACTACGCCCAACCCGAAACCAGTGTGACCATACATAAATAAAATTTACCAAATAATTATATAAATAGAATCTGAACAATAGAAGGAGGTTTTAAAGTGTAGTCCGATATTCTACAGAAAATGCTGAAGAATTTTCCATCTTCTTCGTTTTGTAAACTTTAAGACTATACCAGCCGTGTAAGTATGCTGATTTTTGTATTTGTATTTGATACTATGTCTCTTGAAAATAAGACATGACATCGTAACGATAATATGAATCACATCATTAATTTTTAGAATTGTCTTTTAAAGTAAGTTATCGCACGGTAAATAACAAAAATGGGAAAAAAATCTTAAATGTCAATGACTTGTATAGTTGGAATATAAATCACGCTGTAATTTAAACAAGAGGCATATGACCATATAACGCTCATCTGGCCTTGCTGTTCTAAAAAAAATCTCTCTCGATATATATCATTTAAAAAAATGATCATGTATTGATCCTATTAACCCTTACCCCTAGGACCATGATTTTAACAAATCTGAATCTGCACTAGTCTACCTGAAGATGCTTGTATATTACATGTATATGAATAACCATACCGTGATAAATCTTGAGGAAAAAAAACTTCAAAGATTATTTCTAGGGGGCTGATTCAAATTATCGAGATCAATCTTAACGTTACTGTCTTAGAACAAAAGACTTTATTAAAATTTGTTCCTTGATATTCCTTGGTAAAATTTATTCCCCTTTTGTGTTCCTTTCCTACCCCAAAGGAACATGCTTTTAACTCTTTTTTCACTACCAGAGGATGCTTAATATGACGAATCACGGACGTGCTGTTCTGGAGAGGAAATTAATACTTTCTCTTTACGATTCCCATGTAAAATTTTGATTCCCTTTTCTTGCCGTTCCATCCCTTCCCCCGGGGTTATGATTTGGACTAACTTAAACGTTTACTTTATGAAGACGCTTCATCTTTAAAGTTGTTTCTTTTTGTTAAATTTTGACCTTTGTAGTCTTACCTTAGCCCCAGGGTTCATGATTTGAACAAATTTGAATTCGCACAATATAAGGAAGCGTTCATATAAGTTTTGTTCCATCTAGTCCAGTGGTTCTTCAGAAGATTTAAAAATGACCCAACCATATTTTGTTTATTTCTGAATTATCTCCTCTTGAAAGAGAGTATGACTTTTCATTGAAAAAAAACCCAAATCCCTCCACCCAAGGATGCTTTGTGGCAAGTTTGGTTGAAATAAATCTACCGATTCTGCATGGAGGAGTAGTCTAAAATGTGAAAAGCTAAAGAGGACAGAGGACACAAGACTAATGGACGCTAGACACCATTCCATCAGATAAACTCACTTGAGCATTTGGCTCAGGTGCGCTAAAAAGGTAGACAAGTGTAAGGTTATGGTCGGTTACAATTGAAATTTCTTAACGAACTACGATCTGGTTGATTCGTCATATTGTACAAACTAGGATTTCTGACACCTGATGATGTCATAGGATTCATTCGATTCTTGTGATACAGGAAGAAACAATGACGTCTGTCCCCAGAACAGAGAGGCACGAGACACTCCGAACATCTGTAACGCGTCATCACAGCACCTCCATTTGGAGTTCTTTCCCCTTGTATCTTGCAGAGCTGGCATGGCCGTCTTCCGGACTGGGTCTCTTCCTGAGTGATCTTTGTAGGCATGTGATTTCCAAAAGGACGGTTGTTTTTCATAGGATTCTTTTGAGATTGATTTGTAGTGGCATATGTAAGGGCTAAAATAGAGGTAATAATATAATTTGTTAATCATTGAAAAAATGAATGATTAGGAGATAAACCATGGAAAGCATGCAATGTGTCTATTCTTTATTCTTCTTCGCATAAACGTGCAACGATCTGACTAAATACACTTTATCACCGATGGAAAGAAATGTATATTTAATTAGTTAATACATGTATATATTTAAAAATCCCATGGAAAGTTCCATAATCGTCGCATTTGAAATTAGAGAAAATAAGAATTTGGCCTGCATTGCGGAGACGTTCAGTATATACAGTGTACGTTAACATGTACTCTTCTCTTGCTTCAGTTATATTAACAATACTCATTCAAATTCATGTTATACCAATATCCTTTGATATTCTTATTTTTTTCCCAAAGGTTGAAGAAACAAAACCAATATGAATAAATTTTATTAGTATTTATTTAGGTGCAATAAAATATTTCATCATTAAACATAATTTTTTTTTTCTTTTTAAATATACAAAAGTATACAATTAAAAAACATTATTAGAGAAAAGTGAACATAAAAGGTATGTGGCATGTAGTTGGACAGCAATCAAATCTCATGACGTCATATAGCGATGTCCATGGGCCACACCGCTCATGTGCGTTATCTTGGCATTTTTTCTGCTTTTCACTATTTCTTAACAATGTCATCTTGCAAGAGTACTTGAAACCTTCATTAAAATAATTAGCCAAGTAGTTCTTTAGATGAATTCTTTCCCACCCTAATTTAAAAAAAATAATCTGCATTATACGACTGCTTGCATATTAATGTCATTAACGGTAAACTTGTCCTTCAAAAGAGGGTTTTAAGACTTTTTTCAATATATATTTCTTAGTGAAATTTTGATCTAGATAGTATTCTATATAGCTTAAATTTAAATTGCACCGTCCAATTATGGAACTGTTGTCATATATTTTTAACAGATTGTTTACTTATATTCTCATTTAAAACTTTGGTCCCCTGCTGGGCTCACACTACCCCCAATTCCAAAAAAATTGAAATTTCCTTTACCGAAAGATGATTGCATTTCAGTATTACTAGTTGTGGTCTTGCTTACAAAGAGACGGACGACGGACAAACCTCGATCATAATTCTACTCACTTGAGCCTTTGGCTCAGGTGAGCTAAAAAGGGAGCAAGAATTGAATTGAGTACAATTTTTTCACAATAATGACTTTTCCTCATCAAACATATATACAATATTTTTATAAATGCTGAACATGTGCAAATGCACGTACAAGGGAATAATGTTTAATCATTCCAGAATGCATCGATTTCTAAAGATGCCGATTTCATTGTCATCAACACAAATAGGCTCTTATTCATCATACTTTACGTCAAAATACGCGTTTCACAGTAAAACAACGATAAACTACTTCAAAAGGATGGTGAGCAACAATGCTTCCATGATTTCATTCCGCTTTAATTATATCGCCATTATCTTTCTACTACAATTTGCAATATTTTCAACAGAGGTATTATTACCTTCTACATAAAACTATTCATTTCTATAGATAAAAAAGAATTTTGTGTATTGCTTCAACATTTATATACTACGTAAATTTAAAAAAAAGGAATGGAATCAAAGGGCTTAAATTGATTGATACAATAAGGAATGCATTTCATATTTAAGTAAAGACCCCCCCCCCCTTTTCAAATGACGAAGAACAAATGATGGATAATCCGTACAACCTTTTACTGCAAAATTATTCTACCACTATCATATCTCAAATAATCAAATGTATACCCCTATATTTGACCGTTAAAGAATATCACTGACTTTTACCCCGTTTTAAAACAACATTAAACTTTATTATACAGCTAAAAATTACATTGTGAAAACACCATTTATAAACAGTGCTAAAATTATCAATTTTCTGACACTAAAATTGTTTAGATATAACCCCTCAAGCATTGCCATCTTGGAAACAAAAACAGAAAAGACTGTTGAAGTGGTAATAATGCACCGGCGAACGGTGTGAGGATAAAGGTTAACCTTCGATCAACCAATACTCTTCTACTTTCAAATACACACGACTATCTCTGTGTGTGAAAATTTGTGTTTGACAATACATCTCTTTTCGTTGTATATCGGTAAAGCCTTATGTACAAGTCCTCTTAAAATTCTTTTTCATGCACCAATCATTTTAGACGGTTTTGGCAAGAAACATTCCTTTTAAAGCTGCATTTCCTTGTCAAGACTGAAAAGAACTTAACTTTGAGCAAAATACATATATATCTCACACACTCCACAGGCCCGTAGGAAGCAATTTCAGTTTGGGGGGGCACAGCCAAACATTTTTCAGTTGACAGTTGAGGGGGCACTACCAAAAATTTTCTGACAAGCAAAAAAAAAAGAAAAAAAAAAAGGGTCGTCAACTACCAAATATTCCTTGACAAGCAAAAAATAAAAAAAAAAAAAAAAAAAAAAAGGTCATCAGGCGGTTTTATTGAGGGGGCACATGCTTATATTATCTATGTTTACTATAGTAATCTATATATCGGCAAAATTATTGGGGGGGGGGGGGCACGGCCCCCCCGTGCCCCCCGGTTCCTACGGCCATGACTCCATCTTCTCAGTTTTTAATCCATTCCAATATCTAAGTTCTCAACGTCGTGCAGCCTTGGGACGCAGTCCTTCCGTGAAACATTTCAAAGCAATTTTTGTTCTTACAGAGAGGCACGTTACATAATTCACACTTGTAATAGGTAAATATATCCCAACCCTTCACAGTTTTCTCTTTGTTCAGGTAACAGTTCAAACAACGCTTTCTCTTGCAGTGTACAAGATGATGCTGAGGATTGGAACAGAGCACGGGCAGAGTTCTGCGATTTTGTCTCATTCCTGTTGATTTATGAAAAAGTTGTTATTTATTGTTTTCTTATACATACCATGCTAAATGCAATTAATCATATTATAACAGCATGTAGCAACAACAGCATTTAGTAATTGATATTATACTTTATATCCATTCAAATACTTATACACACTAGAAAGTACAAACAAACAAAGAGAATGCTTTGTTGATTTGTTATAATAATTTAATTCTTTATATTCATGTTACAAGTTTTAAGTGAACGTTATCTAAAACTATTACCAATGGACTTGAAACTTTTAAAAAGGTGGTGAAGATATATCAGGCCTTTTCCTGATTTATTTATTTTTACAGTGTATAATATTCATGTACTCTTGTGATTTTTTACAGTCAGTCATTCAAAAAAAAAAGGTTATCTTTCACAGAATACATACTACATATTACTGTGAATGAAAAATATTATTAAATCATTTGTTGTAACATCAGAGGAAAGCTTGAAAAACTGCAGAATATATATGCTGCAAAATAACTATCATGCACAATTCAAGGATGATCAATATCCATTAATGTCTTTGTGAAACAAATAAAAACAGTTTCTGTTTCCACGACAGAGAGGTACGTTACATATCCCACATTTAAATACTGTTTGCACACGGTAGCCTCCCGCAGTTTTATTGCGCTTGCTGTGACAGACCACACAGTACTTCCGTTTGTTGTTTTCTGTGGACACGAGTCGATGTGGATAAAACATGGCAGAGTCATAAGAAATGTTTTCACCCTCTTTGCCTTGAAAAGAGTTTAAGACCAATTACCAAGTATTTGAAGACTAAACAACATATATATGTAAAACAACTAAAATGTTTACATGGTTTAAGGTTCAATTTAAAGTTTAGAACCCAACAAAGCAACAATTTATAGATCTCTTCCAATTGGAAAAATAACACTTACTATTAAGGATAAAATAAAATGCCAAAACTATAATTGACTATCAAGACAACTTTTTGCAATACGAGGACAAGAAAGCGATCTCCCATACTCTTCACTGACACTAGAAGCAATTCTTTTCTTGCATACTTTTCCTCCATCCAAGACACGACGCATTTCATTTTTTTTCACACAGAAAATAGACACAGAGATAATCTTTTTGTATATTTATTCATCTTCATTACATATTTCAAATTAAAGGAAATAAATAAGTCCAGATCTACTAGTATGTAAATCATAGCACATCTTAAGGACTTTACTTATACATCATTGTGTTTCGATAAGCAAAAAAGAAAATGCAGCTAAAACTCAAACTTGTTTTGAAACTAACAATATAACATAAATCAAACTGAAAAGCACCAAGCCAATTGTACAACACATCAATATGTACAGTAACTAACCGCACGAAATCCCATTTGAAACAAAAATGCCAAAATTAAGCCTTCATCTCAAAGCGTAATAGGAATCGAAAAAGTCTGAACAACTAAATTGACTGTATAAATCCTCAAATTTTGTTTACATAAATTGAACATAAAAAGTTACTATTAGGTATGCACTCCCCCTTCCCAATTTTCACAAACAATCTCTTTGTGATAATTATAGAAACAATTTCTATCAACCGATCTACAGAGCGCCACACCGCATTTACTACAGCCATGATAGGACCTGAAGATCTTGCCAGTGCCCCCTCTTAAGTCATGGAGTTTACAATACTGGCATGTGATGTAAATGTTTCTTCGGCACTTGAAGTCCCTATTCAAACGTCCTAGTCTGTGAACTTCATTGGTTCCGTCCACCGTGTTTTTGATGAAAAGAATTGATTTCCCAATGCAAGAATCCTTAGGTTTTACAAGATACTTCCGGCAACTTCTGTCAACATCTTGACTAAATGTACCTACAAGTATTTCATTTTTTCAATCATTTTATCTTAATAAATGTGTTCTTTCTTCAATTAAATTTATAAAAGTAACAGAACACTTTACTTCATTCAACGACAACTTATCAAATACATGTAATTTAGAGGGGAAAATGTTATACAAAGTATGTCCAGAAAGTAAAAAAAAGTCCTTGACTTAAAGAAACTGAAAATTCTGCTATCCACTTTCTACCTTTAGATCGCTAAATAACAGGAAAAAGGAAAAAAATCCAAACACTCGGAGAAGGTAAAAAGGATTTAATAAGATTA